TCAGAGAGAAAGTTAAAGGTTTATTCACAAGGAAATTTTTATTATAAAATTGTTTTAAGATGATAACAAATTTGGGAATTACCTAAACAAGTAAAATACATTCTAATGTATCCATTAAATAGAATATTAGGCAGTCATTAATTATTGAAATAATCTATGTCAGAGAGAGCCACTTGAGACTCAATATCTTTTCCCTGTCCTAATAAAAACCCCAATTTTTTAGTTAGGCATGTGGCAACAATGCAATAAACACTTGATTTCTCAGCTTCCGTTCAGCTACGAGTTGCTTTGTGATGAAATTATGGTTAATGGCTTATAGGAAGAAACGGTTCTCCAAAAGGAAGGGTTCATGCACTTTTTCGTCTTTTCCTCTTTCTTGTTGGCTGGAGTGCTGTGCTTCAATGCTAGGAAAGGCTGTAGCTCCAAAAGACACATTGAACGAAGAAATGACCTTTGAAGGTCTCATTGAAGGGTGTCAGAAAGGGGTGAGGACACGAGGGAGATACCCCACCACTACCACCAAATCGGCACTAGATTGCCTTCCCCCCGATTTTTAAGCATATGCTGTTTTATATTACTGATGCTTTACATCTCTGTTACTTTAATCCTAGGCAATTTTTTTTTTTAAAGCAAGTCATAGATTAACTTGTACAGTATGTTTCTAAATACATCTGGGAGTCTGTACATGTGGAGACAGAGAGATAAAGACAGCAAGATGAAAGAGAGAACACAAATCATCTTGTAGAACACAGGTGATCTTCATTTCCCTCTTTATAACTTTCAAATGTAATGGGATATTTTTACATAGTCTTAATGTTCTCAGTATTAAAACAATAAAGCATTTTTTAGTGCTTATATAAATTGGCTTTTGTCTACAGATTGAAAAGTAAAATAATGAATACACATATATAGATATATATTGGTAATTTTTTTTTAATTTTATGTTTTGATAATTTTTAAAAGCTATTACTAAGGAATAAATACAGGCTGGCCCTTATATGTGTCTTTAGGTGAACTTATAAGTGAGTTCATGTATAAGACATTTTCAGATATTCTAGGGTTCATTAAAAATATGAGTCAGTTCACTGAAAAATATTATTTAAAATAACCTATGACCAAGTTAGAAATAAAAAATAAATCAAATCGATATAAATCAAAATTAAAATAAGTGAGAATCCAATCAATAATTATAAATATGGTCATTCTAAATAAAATATTAGTAATATTATTATTTTAGGGGGAGAGTAAATGAATAATTCTCTATGTCAAAGAGGATTTCATCCTAAGAATATAATCATTGCTTATATCAGCATACCTATTAATATAATAACAGTAGTTCAAATAAAAAGATCATACTTTCTTTCTATTTACTCTCTTCTATATAAAGGCCCAAAATAACATTCATTCCTGAGAGAAAGACAAATGGTATGAAAAATAACAATGTAAATATACATTTTATTATCCAAAAATCTAGCTTAAATCAACAGGAAATATGCTTAATGATGAAATACTGGAGTCATTTCCATTAAAGTAAGTTAAGAATGCCCACTGTCACTAACTTAATTGTTCTGTTTTATCTAGAGGTATATGATAAATATAGCACTTCATGAATATGAAATAAAAGCTGTGAATATTGGCAAGAAGGAGACAAAACTATGGTTTGCAGATGATAAAATTTTATATGTAGAATTTTCAAAAGGAAAATTATGTGAAAAATTCTGTGGATCAGTGAATGTTCAGTACAGATCTTGAATTAAATTTATATTTAAGAATTAATAGTGCCTGCCATTTTCTTTTCTTAACATTCACAGCAACAATCAATTGGAAACTATGGAGGAAAAAATTCTTACTTAAAATTGTAAGAAAATACAGTTTGTCTAGGAATATCCTCATCTCAAAATTTGAGGTTATATGTAAAAAAATATAAATCTCTGCTTAAAGATAAAAAAGACTATGTGGCTTACTTAATACATACAATATTACCCTAAGTAACCAAACATACATATTTAATTCCCACTGAAATCCCATTTTAATTGTCAGAAAACTTATGACATCATTCTAAAATTCACCTAGGAGCACATACAATACAAGAATAACTAAGGAGAGTGTGAATAATGGAGGACTAGTGAAGATTATAAAACCACAATGACTAGATTATGTGATGTGGCATAGTCCTGAAAGATAAATCAATGCATGTAACAGTATGACTTCTACCATAAACAGTTGCCCACTATGTGACAGGTAGTGCAACAGGGAGGCAAAACATACACAGAATATAGCACCTGCTCTACATGAGTCAAGTGTTAGTGTAACCACTTTGTACCTAGAAACTGGTGTCAGATAACTTAATCAATTTATTTAAAAATAGTATTTTATAAATGCAAGATATAAATGAAGGACTCATTCTACAATGGAGATGCTAATCGGAGAGAATGATTTCCTTACTTACAATTTTCTAGACCATATTTTCAGACACCTATTTGTTTTCTGTCTGAAGGAATATCGAATTACCTGCTGTATGCTGACATTAATGCCATTGTTTTGTTTTGTTTTATTTTGTTTTGTTTTGTTTTGAAGCTAGTTTGAGTGGATTTCAATCTCTGATAGTGAAAGATTCCCTAACATACATATCAAATTTAGCATCTTTATTTTATAGCCCCCAAAAACAAATAGCCCAGAATACATTCTAAACTAATGTTAAAGACAATGTTACACTTTGTAAGAAAATGAAGCATGCTTCAAGTAGTTTATCTTTCACATTCACTGAAAAACATCAATAGTATACTCAGTAATAAAGCCCCATAGTTCATAGCAAATAAATAATATATGTTTTAGAGAAGGAAAAAAATCTTAAAAAAATTATAAGAAATTATTATTTTAATTATAATTGGGGTTGTACAATATTTAAGCTTGAAAAACAGAAGCAAATGGAAAGAAATGTACTTGAATTCTATTACTAAAAATTTGAGTGGCTTATATGTCACATAATATATACAAAATTTATTATCAAACGACTAACTAAAAAAATGCTTGCTAATATATGACCATGAGCTAATCTGTTATACAGAAAGGATTTACATAAGTTGATAAGAAAAACACACAAGACTTGTAACAAAATGGGAAAATAATCTGAATTAATAATTCACATAAAAACTAGCTAATAAAAATGTTAAAAGTCCAATAATAGCAAAAAAATGCCAATGGAAAAAAAATGTATCGATGAATTTGATTTTCCTATATTAAGTTAGTACCTTGATTAAAAAGAGACATTTAATTTCTTTGTCATTCATTACCTTAGATTTGTTGTATTGATAAAATTTGGCATAAAATTTTGACAATAAAAAGTGTAAAAGTATTTATACTTGCATCTAGAAATTCCACTTTTAGAAATGCTTTCTAAGAAAATAAACTTATACCTAGACAAAGTAAAAGCATAAAAATATTCATCATTACACAGTGTGTAGGAAATAAATATTGAAAACAAAATACAAAAGTTTAAATAATATGTACTATAATATATATAATATATGCTATAATGTCTGGTGGAATATTATAAAACAAAAATCATATTTAGGGCATTTTTTATTGCTATTAATTGATGGCGAAGACAAAATAACGAAAACAGAAACAGAATTGATAATACGAAGTTAATGAACTTTATAAAAACAAGTTGGGCTTATTACAAAGAGAGTTACAATAGGTTAAGAAATATTATTTCTTCATTAAAAAATGTTTTTATGTTTCTCTACACTTAAAATTTGTTTTTATGTTTCTCTATACTTAAAATTTGTTTTTATGTTTCTCTACACTTAAAATTTGTTTTGTGATGAGGATGACTTACCTTTATGAGAAAATGAGAAAACAAGCCTACTTTTAAAGGACTTTTATTGAGCATTCATTTACATAACATTATGGTAATGATTTTAGCCTGGTATTTGCGGAGAGTGGGCAGTTGGGAAGTTTGGTACAAAAATGTTCTTGGTCTAAAATTGACCTTGTAAAATAGTAGATTCATAGAGATCATAATGCTATTTTCCTGGAAAAAGTAGAGAGAAGGGAACATGAGTAAGTAGACTATTGGAAGTAAGATATAAATAGAATTAATCTCTACTGTGATATATATCTTCACAAAAGGGCTATGAACCTGTATGCGCAAATGGGAAGGTCTGTACTAGGGCCTAATTGCCTCAGCGTAGAGCCAGTAGTAGTCATTTGACATGGTGGTACGGACAGGCCTCATCACAAACAGAGTAGGGATGTGACTCAGCAAAACTGACTTCTTGGGGAGGAAGCCAAACACCACCAGCTGTACATAACGTGCCCGATTATTTTGTTTTGTACATGCATCAGAACTAAATATTTCCTACTCACTGAGTAGGTTCTTGAGAGAAATAAGAAATGAAGTGTTTTTCTAGCTTTCTTATCATTTTTTATGGAATTATCTTATACTATGATCAAAGTCAAATCAAAGCAGGGTTTCACCAAGGGCCATTAAGAAAAGGCAGATAAAGTGAGCCTTAGTGATCACTGGGCAGCGGCACGGCACTCTATTATTATTCTTCACTTTATCTAGACTTTATGTACAGACTCTGAGCTGGGAGACCACAAATCCACTTGGATTCATCTACCTGAGATGCTTCATATGAGTTTTAAATTCCAGGGAAGAGGTAGAAATATTGTGTCATAGATACTCTCAATTGTGGGCATCTGAGTCAGCACATTTGGTGTCTCAAAAGAATGTTGAACCTAAAGTAGTAAAGAAAACCTTGAGAGAATTTCTAAAAAGGAAATTTGAACTTCTCTCTCAAGAGTGAGAAAATTTATGGTATGTATTAAGGCTGTGACCAGACAGTATCGACAGAAGAAACCTTTACGTTTTCCTTGGGTCCAGAGCATCGAGAGGACTTAAGAGTTTCAGGATTCCCAAAAAAACTTTTGTGAATGGTTCTACAAAGTTTTCTGGGGGCATAAAATTAAAAGGACAAGAAGATTTCTACCTTTCAAAAAATCTCCTCCAAATGATGACACCAAGAATATTCTTTGAAATAGTAGATAAGTTGGGAAATGAAGAGAGAGCCATTTGTGTTCATTCTCCAAGAAATATTATCAGCAAATAAAAAGTATTAAAATATGTTGGAGAATGTGGCCTTTAAATGTATACAACTCATAGAACCACAGATTTGGAAAAAGTTTGATTTTGCTGCTTTGGAAGGAAAAGGGAGACCAAATCTAGATATAGCTGGGACCTCAGACTTTTATAGCAGCCCAGAGAAAACCATCATGGACCCTCAATCATACATACCCTTGACTTCCTTAATAGCAGGACCTAAGTTATGGCCCTTAGGATTGCAAGTAGTGGGAAAGAATGTAAGTCCTTTCAGCATTTACTACATAATAGGAAAAAAAAAAAAGAAGGATCCAACTCTTGATGTTTCTTAATTCTGGGCCTTCTCTCTATCCTGACAGTTTTCTAGTATAATTTTTGCACTTATAGTTTTGTCGTGTCAACATCTTTTGAATTAATACTTCTCTTTATCACTGCGATGCAATCAAATACCTTTCATCATAACAAAGCTAATATTCTATTGTCAGTTTATCCACAGCTATCTTGTTATTTCTTCTTCCTTTTTATACTTAAAGTTCTCAAATGTGTCTCTATTCACCATCTTTATTTTCTCCTAGCCTCCTCACTCTTGTGTAGATTTTCCCTACCACACTGTATTTTGCTAAATAGCTTTTCCCAAAGCCACCCATGTCCTCTAAGTCATTAAATCTAATGGTAATTGATTGGGCCTCGCCTTTACCTGATCTTTCATTCACATCAGAAACTACCGGTAATTACAACTTTCATGGTAGCTCTGACAACACATTCTCCCAATTTTTTTTTCTGATTCCCTGACCATACCTTCTTAGTCTAATTTGATGATTAATACTTCTATCTCTGATCTTGAACTCTACAGTTCTTCCAGTCTTAGCTGTAGGGTCTCTTCTTACTCTATTCTCTGTTCCTATATAGTTTTATCAATTTTTAGAATATTAAATATCATCCTTAGGCAAGGATCTCCCAAAACTCTAACATAGATCTCTCCTCTGAAAAACACAGCTATGTAACTCTTTACTTTTCATTTCAGCTTGAAATATGCCAAAAGCATCTCAGACTTCTTGCAGGGTTCCCATTTTAGTGAATGCACCAGTTATCCACTCTCAAAATTGAGTCACTTCAATCATCCCTTCTTCTTCACCTGCCCTATCCACTAAACCACAAGATCAAAATTAATTTCTATATACTAATTATTTCTTGTATGCAACAACTTACCTCATTCCAAGACTATCATCACATATGGCTTATAATACAGCAATGACATTTTAACTTGTCTCTTTATATCTACACTTACTGTAGTGTAATCCGTTTCCCATGATATCCCCAGAGCGATCATTTAAAAATAAAAATGTTATCGTTTCCTTGCTTAAATTTTACCAAAATTTTCTATTAATATTAGTATAAAGTAATATTAGTCATAAAGTGTAATAGTATAAAGCACCAAATCCTTCCCTAATATATGAGGCCTCAATTATGTGGCTCCTGCCTACCTCTTCAGTCTCCCTCTTGGTAACTCTCTGCTGGCTCCATGCTCCAGCCTCATTGGCCCTGTTTCCAAGTTCTTTTCTTCCTCAGGTCCTCTGTGTATTCTGTTTTTTCTATCTGTAATGTTCCTCTCTTAGCCTTAACATGGTTAACTCTTTCATCTTTCAAATATGAGCACAAATTTTTCTTTAAATCACTTATCGCAGTTGACAATCATTATTTATTTCTGTTATGTAGAGTATATATTTCCCCTCAATTAATTTCTGCTTCTCTGGCCTGAATATGCACTCCGTAAGGTTCAGTAACCTTATCTGTTTCAGTTGTATATTATATGAGCTGCACCTAGCCCAATCCTAGTACACGGTATGTATCCAAAAAAATGAATGCAAGAATTTCATAGTAGACTTTATTTTCTGAACTAAATTAAACAATCTCTTAAAATATGCATCCAGCTGCATATGACTTTTTAAATACCTTTAATAGCAAAAAGTGTAGAGCTTTTCTTTTAAATATGTATTCTCTAATATGTAAAATAAAGTGAGGTCCACCTGTTCCAGCTGTGCAGTGGGAGCTGCCTGCATGGCCTTTTTCCTGTTTCTCCAGGCGGGACTCAGAGGGTCCACTAGTCCCTTGCTACTCACATACACTCATGGACCAACAGCACTGGCATCACCACGGAGATTTTCAGAAAGGCAGAATCTCAGCCTCTTCTCCAGATGTACTGAATCAGAAATCTACATTTTAAAGAGATTCCCAAGTGGTTTCTATGCACATTAAAGCTTGTGCTTACTACACTAGAGCACTTAAAACTCTAACTTGTGTAACCTAGGTTTATAAAATTGCCCTTGTTATCTAAACAGTTGCTAAAACAGTATTGTGGATGACTGTTAAATAGTTTCCTACAGGTTAGACCATAATCAACTGGGGATATTTGCTGTTTCTATCCCCTACTAAAATTTTCCTACCAAAGAAGGATTTTCAGTCATTGGTTGCATTATCTTGAAGGTAGGCATTTGAATGTTAACTAATTTCCTAAGACTGCATTCAAATAACAGGCCCAAGAGGTTCTAGGATTTGTGGAGCAAGTATTACAGTTTTCCTGATAGGCTCATTTAATTGCTAGTAGTTGATCAGGTGGACCAAACCATGAGAAGATGATACATTTCTTTAACATGAGTATATTTAAAAAAATAAAACCTCTTATTTTATTTATAGTTAGACTATTTTAAGTCTGGATTCTCACCAAACTCCTGTTTAGTTTGAAAATTTCCTCCCAAATCAAGACTTATAGATTTCTAGCTATGAAAATTTTAGTATTTTATGTCTTTTCTACCTAAAATACCTCATTAGAGAGGAAATGTTCTTATATTAGTAGTAAGATATGATCAGATCCAAGTGTATAATATAGGAACTAATAGATTAAGAAGTTATCTTCTTTGAAGTCACTTATGTGGAGTTGAAGATTTGAAAGCAATGAAGTCCTTCTCCACATGGGTCTTTGTGACAGCATCACTCCAGAAGTAACACTGATAAGTATGGTCATATGTATATGCAGAGTCTCCTCCTATGTCAGTCACCCAAACAGTCCCAGCACCTCCTGAGAGAGACACCCATGTTGTATGAAAGATGTTATATTCAAACACAAACATACACAAAATTTTTTTTGCCATTGTACCTTTACTTCAGTACATTTCAAAATGGAATTTATTAAAAATCCAAGTATCTTACTACTAGAAAAACTACCTCACTGACTGGAAACCGTACAGAGCCCACTTAAGTTTAAGATAAACTTGACAGCTTGGTCCCAAATAATTAGGCAATCCTAATTATTCTAGGCTACTTATTTATTTATAAATAATAAAGACTTAATACAATTTCTGGAATGGGTCTAACGGTGGTACTAAATTTTTTTTTTTTTTCACTCATCACTAAGAAAGTAAGTCGAGATATTAGGCTAATAGAAAAAAGTGCATGGCTACTCCTTGGGTTCCCCCAACTCAGACTCACTGCCTCTGCAGGCCTGCATGATGATGACCTTGGGTTTTTCTCTTAGACTCTGGCAGTTGCGATTGTTGAAAATTTTTAAGATGGTATCATCGTGAAGAATATCGGGCTCTTGATCTCTGTGCTTTACCCCACACATCCCATCCAGGATGCCATGTGACATAAACACCAGGATTGTGCTGTCTGAGGATCGGTGCTCTTGGCGGGCAGCAAACAGCCTTAGCACTATTTCCATTTCCTGAAAGGGACTGCAGAGTTACTATAAAGGAACCCTCCATGTGCAGTTTGCACTCAAATGTAGATGGAGTTTACAAAAAGGAGTAGGCACCAAGGAATCAGGTGATTTAGACCTAAGAAGATGTTGGGAGATGAAGCAAAATAAGGAGCAAGTGAGATGACACTAATAAGAAGGCGCTGATTTCATCTGTTTTATATGTTGATGTTACCATAAGTTTTCATTAAAAAAAATAATAATAATAAGAGACAGAGATAAAGAGTTTTCTACTGACAAAAATTATAAACACAACAAATCCCTTCATCATGGAACAATAGAAACTTAAATTTAAAATGGTTTGTGAAAGGTCATTCAGGATATTTTTGGTAGAGCCAGAATCATAATTGTGTGTATATAAACTTTTTTCTATATACCTTTTTTTACATTTAGACACATGATATTATAGACACTGAAATTATAAAAACCTCATGAGCTCATTCTGTAGGTATCAGGAAATTTCAGGGCCTATATCTTTCATCTCACCCAGACTATCAAGTAATAGAGGTCTCCAACATTGAGACCTTTAGAAAGATTCAACATTTCTAGTGAAATACTGTTATATAGAGCTGCTCTAAATTTCTGATATGAGATTGTGCCTTGGAGAAGGCTGAAATCTAGGAGATCCTATTCTGGAGCAAATGTAATTCCTGAAACATTTTGTTTTTATAGCTGCTATGGAAGAAATTCAAAACTGTTTAAGAGGAAAGGAAGCTTGTCCCACTTCCTTGAGTCATTACCAGAGCTGTGAGATTCACTTTTTCAACCACTGAGTATCCAAGGCTTTCAAGCAGGTCTTGCATCCCCAAAAGGTCAACTTCAGAACCATGTCGATTGGCAAGATAATTACATTCTTTGTTCCAGATGATGAGGGCCAAGCATGTTCTGCCCTCCTTCTCCAACACTGGATATATCTGTAATTAAAAGACACAGAGTGAGTTCCCCAGGCCTCCTCCCTTTTGACTTCAAAGTCCATACAAAACAGGCCTTTATGATTATAAGTGGATGGCTAGAGAGCTTGAGAATGGAAATATGTCCCCATGAAGAAAGAGACAGGATCAAAGACTGAAAACGTACTAGGAACTTGGCTTTGGTTGTATATAGGTAGTTTAGAGTTTGTGCTAGGATGGAAAGGAAGAGCCAGGAAATCTAACATAAAGACCACTTAATTAGATAACATGATTAGATAACATCCTATGCCTTTGGCCTGATCTTAAGGCATTTATAATAACAACTAAAATTTCCAGTGAGTCCCCGGTATTTTGTTTGAATGGGCAAATTGTGTGTCTTTCTATTCCAAAGCATATCACCTCATCTGCTTTTGTTGTCATCAGTCTATGGAAATGATCATGAGGACAAAGCTTCAACTCATGATTTGCTTGGGAAGCCTGAGTTTTCTGAGGAGCTAAAAGAGAAAAAAAAAAAAAAT